CGTGATCAAAACCCCCAGCTAAAAACACATTATCTAAACAGAAAATGAAACTAAATTAGGGGGAAATCAGAGATCGACGACGACCTATATCGGAGATGAGATCGGAGACGAGACCAGCAGCTTGACGAAGAGATTAGTTACGAGATCGACGACGAAATCAGAGCTGAGATCGGAGACGATGAGATCGAAAAACGGCGAAGAGATTAGCGACGAGTTAAGCGATGAGATCGACGAATTTCGGCCATGGCGATCTCTCAGAGCGAACGAAGAGGGGGATTTTAGAAAGAGAGAGAGAGAGAGAGAGAGAGAGAGAGAGAGAGAGAGAACTGGGTTTGAAGGATTGAGGAGAAGGGATAAGGTTATTTTGGAGATTTTAGCTTAGCTGACATATAATAATTGCTAAAAAGGGGCTGCAGCACAAAATGTCACACTTCAAGGGGCTGAACCACATGGGGTAAACTAGGAGGGGCTGCAGCACATGAAGTTTCTGTTTTGGGGGCCTAGACACATTTTTCCCAAATTTTAATGTAGTATATTTTAATAAATTAAAAGTTTTCTAACATATCATTTGAGCTATATCAATAGCTAATGTGTACCTTAATGCACAAATTGCACAAAGCTCTGAGATAAGCTTATGAATTACCCTTTTTTCAACTATTAAACTATATTTAAAATTGTCTTTAGGCATATGTATTTAATACTCAGAATTTAATATTTTGAATATATTGTAGATAACATATATAAAGATGATTTAATGCCATCTTCTTTTAAAAGAGAGCTTTGCTACAGGGATCCAAAATATGAGACCAATAGGGAGAACAAGTAAGGTGTCCCCCTCCTATTGGATAATGAGTTGACCATCATTAATGATGATCAACTCATTATCCAATAGGAGGGGGACACCTTACTTGTTCTCCCTATTGGTCTCATATTTTGGGTCATTGAAGAATTTTTCTATATCCAGAACAACAAAGAGTTTAACCACTACATTTGAACCTAATTAACTAACCCATTTACAGCAGTCATTAACACTTCCCTCTCGGTTTTAACGCTTGCATTACTCTTCCTTCTGCCAAGTGGCGTCCAACTTCTCCTCTACTAATAGCAACCCTAGAGCCTTCTACTGCTCATCTCAACATTCGCAGAGAAAAGAATTTAGACAAGAAAAAGGGAGTGATCAATAACTTCTCTGCTTCATGCATGTCTAATTTGAGTCCAAAGCTTGAGTTTGGTAGTCCACATTATTCCCAAGGAGGGAAAAGGGAGTCTAAAAGGAAAACTTAGGTCAATATTTTCGAAGGAGCTAATATATACACTTTTTCGGCTGAAGGCCTAATCTGATCACATCAATATTGTAAGTAATTTACATCTGAAGTTAATTAAGTTGAACTTATTAGAGTGTAGAATTTTTAACCCTCAACTTTAACCTCCCACGGAACTTTAAGATGTTATAATTAATTAGAGCAACCCAAATTTGTTAAAACCCCTTTTTTAAAAACTTTTTTTTTAAAAAAAGAGCTAAGTGCATATGCAAAATACTTTGTAACATTTTTTACTTTTTCTAATTTAGTAACCATTTTTCCTAATTAAGAATTTTTGTTCGTAAGTAATTAAATTTACCTCTTCGAGAAGGGGGTTGGTGGCTTTGCATGCTATATTAATTACATCTCATGCAGACCTCGTGCTTCCGGTTTCAAAATTATCCATATGTATGTACGCCCCCCTCAATTCTTTTTTTCTTTCTCCGCTTTAGAGCTTTTCTTATTTCTCAAAAGGGTAATTCAAAAATAATCATTAAATTTTATCTATTCCCAACTTATTTATTTTCAAAATTTTGTCCTTTGTAACATTACCATACCTAGCTGGAGTGCAATTAACAAAAAGGGCAGTCGTCTTCGTTTGACGCGGACCGCGGCTGTAACGCTCCTGAGTTATTATATGTGCCTTTGACCTCTACCCGCGGGGCCCACTTGAATTTACTATAATATTTCTACCCATTGTTTAATTTTCTCTCTCTTATGATAACGAGGTTGTTTTTCGTTGTTTCCCACGAAATTTTGGCCATTGGCTAAAAGGAGTCGAGGACTCGTCAATTGAGGTAACGGTTGCGTCGCGTTACGTTGAAAGTTCGCATCCAGTGCATGTGCGCCACGTGTGCGCACGTTAATTTGGTCGTAACTCTTTGTGTTTCTAGAGGTCCGGTTGGGCTGTAGTAGAGTATGTAACACACAGCTGATCCTGAATGGCTCACTAGTCCAACTGCGCTGGGTCGACACGTGTCCGAAAGGCCGCTTGGCGGTGCTTATATATAGGAAAAATTTGTAAAATAGTCCGTTTTTACTAATTATTTAGCGAAATAGACCGTTTTGCTAAATAATTAGCAAAATACACCTCTTTTTGGCCAACATGTCAAAAATGTCTATTTTGCAAAACAGCTCAGAAAACATACGGGACTAGTAGTCCCGTATGTTTTAATCACGGATTAGTGAACTCAGAAAATTTCACAAAACATTGAGATGAACTCAGAAAACATAAATCACGGATTAGTGAACTCAGAAAATTTCACAAAACATTGAGATGAACTCAGAAAACATACGAGACTATTAGTCCCGTATGTTTTCTAACTCAGAAAATTTCACAAAACATTGAGATGAACTCAGAAAACATATGAGACTATTAATCTCGTATGTTTTCTGAGTCACTAATCCGTGATTAAGTTGGCTCTAAACATACGGGACTAGTAGTCCCGTATGTTTTTTGAGTCTTGTTTTTTAAAATCGATCTCTTTTTTTCAAAAGAGGTCTATTTTACTAATTATTTAGCAAAACGGTCTATTTTGCTAAATACTTAGCAAAAACGGACTATTTTGCAAATTTTCCCTTATATATATACCAGCTGTCCGCTTGAAAAAGGACGAGGAAATACTTAAGGCGTATGTTTAATTAAAACTATAATCATTGAGATGACTGATTTATTTATTTATCGGATATATAAATATCGGTAATTTGTAAAAGATACGTACTGAGCTAGCTAGTAAGATTTTCTTCACTAGTTAGCTTGGCAAGAATTCATGTCCCACATAATTATATTTGGTAATTTGTAAAAAGATTCAATCATGCATGAATCAGTTTAAAACTTCTTTTTTAGCTAGCCTAGATAGTTTTGACCAAAATTTTTCCAATCAAGAGTACTTCTCAAAATTGGACCAGGTTTAAACCATGGGCAGGAAAAAAAAACACATACAAAAACATGCCCCTTGCATATATACTTTATAATTGCTTTCAAATTGCATTTTATGTGAATGCATGGCGCAAGGAGCCATACGGCACCACCGGCCACCACTTACTCCAACGGCAGCAACACCTCTCTCAACCTCCAACCCACCAACCAGCAGCGCGCAGCCCCCATCAGCCAGGCAGCAGCAGCAGAACAACAATGCGCAGTCCGCGAGCAAGACGCCTTCATGCCGATCGCCAACGTGATCCGCATAATGCGGAAGGTCGTCCCGTCGCACGCCAAATCTCGCGACGACGCCAAGGAGACCATCCAGGAGTGCGTGTCCGAGTACATCAGCTTCATCACCAGCGAGGCCAACGACGGTGCCAGCGCGAGCAGCGCAAGACCATCACCGCCGAGGACGTGCTATGGGCCATGAAACAAGCTCGCTTCGGACGAATACGGTGCAGCCCTCCCAGGTGTTCCTCCACAGGTACCGCGAGGTTCGAGGGGGACCAGCGCGGCTCCATCCGCGGGGCCCGCTCCCTGCCTCAGAAGAGGACCGCTCGGCGCCAGCGGGGGCGATCTCGGTGTGGCGATGCAGCGCCGCCGCCCGCCGCAGATGGCAGCGATGCCGCTGGCGATGGGGGGTGATCACCTGTTCATCAGCATTGCAGCAGCTACAGGGGCAGCAATCAGTTTGGCGCGGGTATGGGGAGCACGTGGATGGGCGGAGGCAGGGTATTTCTTTTTGGAGGGGATCCGGTTGATGGAGGAGGAGGCAAGGAGTAGTTCTCATCATTCATCCCGACCATCATCATTACCCAGCTGCTGCAAGGACAACAGTGGAGCAGCGCTGCTACCACGGCGGTGCTTTTGATCCTTACCCTGGGAATTTTAAGTAGACCTGTGAAGTGTAGGTGAGGACTGGGATCAAGGTGAACGATGGTGACGTGGCGGTGTTTGGGGCCGTGTTGTGGGCTAAATTAATTAGTAACGAGTTCGTTTCTGGGCTTGGCTTCTGGCGAATAAGGTGTGGGCTAGTTAAGCTGCTGGGGGGCTTAACTAGGGTCGGTGTTAGACTGTCTTAGGAAGTGTTCGTTGCGTGATGAGCAATGAGATCTGGTTAATGCTACTGTTGTTTGGACTTCAATTTTACCGCACGTCTCCGTTTTCTCTTTCGTTTGTGGTTGACAGAAGGAGCATGATAATTAATTGAGTAGCACTAGGGGCACACCCCCAACCACAACTCCAACCACACCCACTCTCTCATTTGCTACAGTGCACCGGGCCCACATGAGATTTTAAATTTTTAAAATCTCTTGTGAGGCCGTTGTACTGTAGCAAATGAGAGATGTGTTGGAGTTGTGGTTGGGGCGTGCCTCTATCATTTTCCTAATTAATTTGACCATACCTTTTTAAACTGATATACCTAGGGTTTGTGGGTCGTTAATAACTCGCCGGCTTAGAGACCGATCTAAATAAATAGGCCCACACTTTGCGAGTAGTTTGAAGAGTATAGTTCAGATAGAATTATCCTAATGGAAGAACTCGGATCACGTCAGGTCATTTTTTTTAACGAGTGCCCATGAGCGCTCATTAAAAGATGAGAGAGAGAGAGAGAGGAAGGAGCGGCAAAGGAAAAAAGTTTAGTATAAATCAGAAAGGACCCGCTTACTATTCATTTTCCTCTATCTCTCTCGCTTTTTAATGAGTTTTTGCACCCAGTCTATTTAGATGTTTTAAGCACAACTATCACTTAATCCACACCGAGCACAACTATATCACTTAAACTTTACTTTGTTTAATGGGAGATTTCATAGGGTTCTACAAAAGAAAACCCAAACATAAAAATTAATAGCATCTCATACGCCGAGTCCCCAAATATTTTAAGCCTCTGAGCACCAATAAATTACCTCGTCCTTTTCTCACAACCTACCACTACAGCCAGAGACCGGGCGTGGATTGCAAAATTCACCCTGCTCCGCTCCCCTTCTTCCTACTACCTAAACGCAACTAGCTTTTAAGTTGCCCTAAAAAGCTCTACGTAAGCTGCAACTACATCACCATTCTATATTACACAAAAGAAGACCCGAGAAACTTGGATCTCTTATAACTTACAAATCTTCGTCGCTTCCGGATAACTTGGATCTCTTCGAGGACAAGCCGTTACCGTTCTCAGTCTCGTTGCACCTCTTGGCCACGCTTCCATTGCCGTTGGAGGCGATTTCAGTCGCTTTATCGTCTTCTACAACGTCCCATTTATGAGCGTTTGTGACGATGGCGTTTATGGTATATTCAAATTTTGGAAGATCTTTCATCTCGACAATAGCATTCTGCCCGCATGAGGATTCGTCCTCTGCAGCATCTCTCAGCTTCCGGATGACCTCGTTCTTATCATGAGAAAAGCTTTCCTTTTTTCTCTAAATTCAATATACAAGAAAATTCAACACGGGAGCCTCATGAGCAAAACTATAAGAATAAAGGTAAATTTCACAAGACTACTGCGACAGGTAATTTAGAGAGAAGTTCATGCTAATTTTCTCTAATACAAGAAGTTCATGATAGTTTTGTCCAAAACCCCTCTACTTTTGTGAAATTTACCCGAAGAATATAAATCAGAACAACATTGCGAGAAATGAAAGCACAATACTTGTAGTTTTCCTCACCCAGAAATTAACTGGCCACTCGATTATAGTGTGTGAGCAACCACAGCCATCACTGAGATTGAACCTCAATAGCATTTTGAATGATTTTTTCCTTGCTGTTTCTCTAAAGGTAGGCAGAAAGCAGAAAAAGTGATGAGTAAACTTAAAAATAACTAAGATAATCAGAAGTTTTGTTGAAGCTGCAAGCACCTCTTTAGACGAAATGGTTGTTTTTGCAGGAAGGCAGGTTTCAAGTTCGGTCTATCAGGAAAAGAAACCTAAAATAGCAAAATAAATAAATAAATAAATTAACAGTTAAAACAAGCTACATAATTGTTATATCCTTAAGCGAATAACTAAATGTTTATTAAAAGAATACAAAACTAATTGAAAGAAATATAGTGCATTCAAGAAAAAGATATGCCTATTATGAAGATCTAAATATACGAGACCTTTTAAATCATTTCAGTATGACATCACTAAAGTATTGCCTTTTACCATGATTCTCTCCAATCTTTTACATTATGAGATTAATTTCCAATAGATGAAGATCGCTGGAAATTATTTTCGAGTTACGACCGGAGCACAAGCAGGTACACAAAGGCAACCATTAGAGATCTTGCCTAACTCATACCAGATTCTTTACCTTTATCCTCCCATACTGTTGTACATGTTGAGCTCCACATCAGAGCTTTACTTATTTAATTCATCAAATAAAGAATCCATCTAGCTGAAGTTTTGAAGATGTTTCAATGAGTATCAATGAGTACCAGCAGCATACTGGTTCTCTTTTCCCTCGAAAAAGAAAAAGAGGAAAGGGAAAATAGAAGTTTAATCTGCCCTGACTTTTTCTAATTAACACCTTCACTAGACCAGCCAATTAATTCAGTGGACAGTTGGATGTGCCATCATAATTTAATTTCTTCTGAATTGTATCGCTAGAGCTTGGATGATTTGTAGGTAAAATTGTTATAGTGCTCACTTAAGAGGACTCGTAACTCGTTCAATCCTCTAAATGACTGAACAAAATCTATAAAAATTCAAATTTAGAGAAAATGCATCCGATAATACAATGGATCTTTAAATGTTTTTTAAGTGTGAAATTTTTCATGACTTCTTTAAAAAGGAAGACACAAATATCAGCAGTTGCAAACAGTAAAAACTTTGGAAGT